ACCTTCGCGGATACCTCTACAGCAGGATGCAGCATACTGAAAGTGATGTGAGAAATTTCAGCAGAATTGGGAAACGTTGGCATGACATTTTGCTGACATGCGCAGATGATTGCAATCTGACCAACGCAGCAGTCAGTGCTTCCTCTATTCCGAAAAACCCATGAAAAAGCTCATCGACTTGCAACTTCTGCTCTTATTCAAACACCTGATTGATGAAAATTCCCAACAACTCATCGATCACTGTAGAAGAATAGAGCTCATGAATGAATCACGGAAGGGATGAATACAGAACGCACTAAAACTACTTCGATGAATCATGTCTGTTCAGTTTAGTCATATTTCTTTATTTGCGCTAACTCCTCGGACATCCTTCTCCACCCCGTCTTATTAGAAAGAATCGCCCCAAATGTAACATCTACATGTAAAAAGAATCACTCTAAATGCAACAATTACACATTGAAAGAGTCGATCTGAATGTAACAGTTATATGGGAATGAATGAACGATTGCGAGCTGGAATAGGAATTCTGTGATTTGCATTGATGGCATAATATATTTGATTTGCATTGGTATACCAATATTTCATTTTCATTTTCCGCTTATTGCACTATGTAGTGGGTACATCGACACATACAATCGCTGTCTTACGATTAGCATTTAATCGATTTTGTATTGCTGTTTCACTCACTCAATGAGATTACAGATCGCATATTGCTTGCAATCAAGATGGCCATTCTCGGTGTCGTTTGCATTAGTCGTCGAACTCAATTGGCGACAAACACAACGATCAGGATTTCGGGTTTCAGTTGCCGAAAGTGGTGAAGGAGGGCACTAAGGACTCGTCTTCCATACGAAGCCTCGGTATCACGCGCCGTTTACTGCACCTAAGATGTAGCACGTGGCCAACATGATACGTTTGAGGGTTTCAGTGAAACGTTTTTCTCCTTTCTCGACTGAGCTGCATAAGGCCGCTAGACTCAAAGAAGAACTCCGCCAAGCCTTCTCTACTTGTGACAGGGGTCATCAGTGCGGTTCAACCGTCTCGGCACAAATAACGAGAGACGCTTCCTCTGGGGTTAATGCCCTAGCGTCGTTATCTGCGGAATTACGTCAACAATGGACGATATTAACGAATTTTCATCGACCACGGTGGACCCGCTCGTCATGTTGCTATAGCAACAACAGCTGTCGCCCAAGAAAAAGCTCTAGGAAAGCATTAACTAATTCTAAGATTGACCTGAATGGGATCAAAAAATTTTTAAGATACTGAAACTCAAACAACTGAATATCCGGCAAAAACATTCAACAAAGCGGGCGACATGAAATCCATATCACACGGACTCGAACAGCAAATGACTCACCATTATGATGATAGCGGTATTGCCAGCTGTCGTCGATGCGAGTTGTTCGTGCAGAAATGAATGCAATGTTCTGTATTGTGGCGCGCTCGCAATAAATTGTTCTTTATGGGCGTTTTTTGAAGCGGTTGAGCGAATAGGAGTAGAATGCTTATCAGCTGAAATGATGCAGCTTGAAAAAAGACGGGCAAATTGAAATGGCGGGAGGGAGGGTCTTATCAACCGTTAATCCTCTTTATGCAATCCTATTTACTTATTCTTCAATCGCAAATGCTCCATCAGATGCGAATATGTTCGATGATACATCAACATTATGTTTTTCCGGCTACAATGGTACTGAAC